AAACAGGAGGAGTGAGCAGAAAAGAGGGCGACATGGGTTTCCGACGATGGCGTGCTTGCAATCAAGGCGCTTTTCGTAGGTTTCAGCCCCCGGGATTATGGGGTCGACAAACTGGCCCTAGGGAAGGGGTCGGGACCTCTGGGGCCGCGCATTGAAAAACAAAAAAAGAACAGCATCGTCGTGTGTCTGGTGCGGTGGGCGGAGGTGGGAGGAGGAGGAGGAGGAGGAGGAGGAGGAGGAGGAGGAGGAGGAGGAGGAGGAGGAGGAGGAGGGGCCGGAGAGGAGGGGATGAAGGAGGAGGAGTGAGGTAGGAATGAAGGGGAAGGTAGGAGTTAGGATGGTAGGAGGTAGGAGGTAGGAGGAGGAGGCAGGAGGAGGAGGAGGGAGGAGGAGGAGGAGGAGGAGGAAGAGTGAGGAGGAGGAGGAGGAGGAGGCGGAGAGGAGGGAGGCGGAGGGAGAAGGGAGAAGGGGAGGGTGGGGAAGGAAGGACATTTAGGGGGAAGAGGAGCTGGGGTTAGGGGCATGAGGAATGGGGTGTGTTACCTCGCGGGCAGCTGAGCCGTGCTGGCCGACGATGTTTTCCGACGAAGCCCATGCCTTGCAGTCTCTGGACCAGGAGGTTTCAGAAGAGGAGAGGAGGAGGAGGAGGAGGAGGAGGAGGAGGAGGCGGGGGGAGGAGGAGGAGGGGAGATGGTGGTGGTGGTGGGAGGGAGGCACGATTCGAGGAGGAGAAATACGCATAGACATAAGCTGTCGAAGGTCCGCGCTGACCTCCTGGACCGGCGCGGGATCCCCCATCCCTGGCGCCCGGGGCGGCGGCGGGGGGCGTGACGCCTGAGGCAGGCGTGCGGAGCGCCGAAAGTGCATGTTTTTTTTTGCAGCTCTTCTTCCAAGGTCCTCCTCCTCCTCCTCCTCCTCCTCCTCCTCCTCCTCCTCCTCCTCCTCCTCCTCCTATGCATGATGAGGGATGACGGGCAAGAGACGAGGGACGAGGGAAGAGAGCGGAAGTACGAGGGGCGAGGGGTGAAGGACGAGGGACGATGGACGTGGAGGGAGGAGGGAGAGGAGGTGAAGGGAGGATTGCCCAAGTTCGATGATCCCCTTCGGTAAAGTCCCGCTTGGATGCCCGGACGCAATTCAATATTGCAAAGATGGGATCTCAGGGATCACGGTTACCGATATTGGCATGCGGAGGAGGAGCGAAGGGAGGAGACGGAGTGAGGGAGAGACCGATGGCGGAGGATGGAGGATGGACGAAGAAACCTCGGGTCTCGAGTACCACACGCTCGCACTGAAACCACGGGCGAGACGCAGAAGGAGAGATGCGCGAGGATGGAGAGGAGGATCAGGCAGGAGGGAAGAAGAGGATCCGAGGAGGCCACCCGGCGGGAGGTGGCTGCTCGGGCGCCGCTGCGACCCCTCCCACGGGGCGGCGTGGGCGGAGACTCCGCTGCACCTGGCGGCGATGCGCGGGCGGGCTGGGGGGGCAACTCGGGGCGCTGGAGGCGAAGACGAAACGACCTACTCACCACCCACCAAACTACCCCAACTCAACCCGAAGGCTTCAATCTGCCCTCCATTTCCAGTGGGGGGGGGATCGGGGAACATTGGAAAAACACATGGAACCCATAAACCACCCCCCCAACCCGAAATTCGGGTCAAATTCACGTGTTCGGGTTGGGTTGGGGTGGTCTGGGAGGCAGTCAACTACGAAGCAGAGGCACCCGGAGATCCGCGCGTCTTGGTCCGCCGCTGGGCCGTGGGGCCGTCTGGAGGTCTGAGGTGGCCGAGCACTGGTGTTAAGTCGGGCATGTCCCGCTACAGAGTAAATAGCCCAAACCAGCCACACCAGATGTTGGAAAGGGATTCTCGACCATTGTTTAGATGTTCGGCTCTTGTTCATTCTTCTTCCACGACCGAGGAGGAGGAGGAGCAGGAGGAGGAGGAGGAGGAGGAGGAGGAGGAGTGCTGGCTCCCGGGACCGTTCGCGTGCAGTGCTCGCTCTCTGCGCTGTCTCTCTTCGGCCCTGTCCTGCGCCCTTTTTCCCTGCTCCTGATGGGTTTCGCCTCGCGCACATAATCCTGACCGCAAGTCCAAAAAGGAGGAGGAGGCGCCTGTGGGAGGACCTGCCCGATCTAGCAAGCGGTTCCGGCCAGCGAGGATGGGGGGGGGGGCGAGGCTCGAGGTTCTGGGCCCGGGAAGATTCTTCACTCTCCTTCGACCTCCGGGGGACCGTCCTCGGGCCTCAGCATTGGGAAGCACGTGCGGGCAGCACTGAAGGGGCCCCAGGACACACAAATAAATACACACAAATAAACATGTTCCCCATATTTTTCCATATTTTCTGGGTTTTTGTCTTCCCCCACACTTCCCATATTGTCCCATATTTTCTGGGGGATCGACGATTAATTGTGTCTGTGTTTTTTTCCTTCCTGAAGCACTTATATCCACATCCAGAGCCTCTTGGACTTTTCGGGAAGAGGTGCCGCAACGCCGAGGCGCACTGGACATGGATAAAATCAAGCCTCCTGGGGCCAGATTTTTGTCCAAATCCAGTGCGTCTACGGTTTCTGGGGAAGAGAGCCCAAGACCCCAAGACGCACTGGATGCGGATATAATTATTGCCCGCAACACGGGGCTGGGGTGAAAAATTGCACCGGACGGGCTCCAGGATGGGTCCGGGGACAGATTTTGAGCGGACTTGACGTTATCCCCACTTCTTATTCGGCTTCCTCGGGCCGTTCGGAACCGTTGGGAAGTATTGGGAACCTCGGGGGAGCGCGCGGAACCGCGTGGAACAGTAGCGAAGCGCGTGGACACGTTGGGGACCGCGGGGAGCCGTGGGGAAGCCCGTGGGGAACCGTGGGGAACCGTGGAGAAGCGCGTGGGCCCGTGAGGAGCCGCACGCGTGGGCACGCGAAGGGATCGTGGAGAAGCGCGTGGGCCCGTGGGGGACGAGGGGGGACCGCAGGAGAACTGTAGGGAAGCGCGTGGAACCGTCGGGAACCGCGGGGGGCGGGGTGGTTGTGTTGGGGGGGGACCGTGAGGATTCCGCGGGGTGGAAGGGGGGGGCGCGTGGACCCGTGGGGGACTGTGAGGATTCCATGCCAGTCCTGAGGGGTGTAGATCCGTCTGCGGTATGCTCGTGGTGTGGAGCACGTCCCACGTGGCATTCCAAGTGCTGTCTGCGGGCCACTCGGCGGACCTGTCGTGGGCCTGGGGGCTCTGGAGGGCCTCTCCGGAGCCTGTCTCGGGGGGTCTTGCCGCCCTCTTGGGCGTGATCTCTCCCAGGGAGGCTCGACCGAGCTACTAGCTGGTGCGCCAGGCAGGAGGAGGTGGAGGAAGACACGAGATGGGTAGGCCGAGGCCTCGCAGCAAGACGCTGACGACACAGGCGTCGCCACATGGCGGCCACCCCTCCTGGATGGGGGGGGCTGCTGGCAGAGCGAGCCCCAGGCTCCATGAGCACAACGGGACCCGCACGGATGAGGTGGAGGAGGCAGGACGGAGGAGCAGCAGCAGCGCTCAAGCCTTTCAGGCCGCCTGGCATCCAGCCTTAAAAAAGGGCATGGCTCGGGCTGGGACCGTCCACGCCTTGATTGACCCCCCGTCGACATTCCGCCATCCGGGCATCCACGTTGCTGCTCGTCGGCGAGCCCGAGGGGGGGACTGAGAAGGAGAAGGCATTCTCAGAAGGCGCGGAAGCCCCCTGGCAATCTGAGACGTGCTTGAGCCTTGCCCGAATACACAGGGCACTTCTGAGAGGGCGTGGGGGCCTCTGAGAGGCCCCGCCGCCTTCTGAGAAGCCCTCCTCCTCCTCACTGCCCCCCCTCCCCCTCGCTCACCGCCGAGCTGCACTGAACGCGCACGCGTAGAACTCCGATTCTGCCGAGGGGGGAGGGCGTGCGACGGGCGGGGTGGAGGAGAGCAGCCGCCGGGGGAGGCAGGACGCACATGCACGCGTGCGGCATGTCGATGCAGGCCTCGAAAGAGACTGGCGAACACTCGTGCCGCACTCCTCTCTCCATGTCCCCCGCCCCCCCGAGGACCGATGTTGGCGGTGGGTCGGAGGAGTTGCATTCCGACCGCAGTCTTTCCCCGCGCGTGCCAACTTTGAGAGCTTTGGGGGGGGCGGGGGGCGTGCCCACGACTTCTCCCCCCCTCGACCGTGGGCCACCGCTCGGGCCGACCATGGGCGGGCGGCCGAGGAGGGCCCCCCTCCCCCCCCCCGACCTCTCGCCGTCTTCCCGCCGCCGAGCTGCCTGGCCACGGTGCCCCCTTGGGGCGCCGCTGCGTTTCACAGCTGCGCCCGAGCTGCGCAGGCGCGCACACGCGCGGGCGCCAAGAATGTGTATACCACCACCACCACCACCACCACCACCAGCGCCTCCATTCTTCCTCCCGGCTCTTCCCTCCTCGTCCTCTCCTCTCTCTCGTGGGAGAGACGGATGGGGGCGAGGGAGCTGGTGGTGCCCCCCGCAAAGCACCGCCTGCTCCGCGCACCCGCACTCCCTGCATTGGCAACTGCTCACCTGGAGCATCCAGGGCACCGAGCTGAGGCTCTCCCAGGGCCCCCGTCGCCGACCCGTTCCTCCTTGAGCTGTTTCGCCAGAGCCGCGGCAAGGAATGTATCTCGAGGAAAAAGGAGGAGGGGGAGGGGGAGGGGGAGGGGGAGGGGGAGGGGGAGGGGGAGGGGGAGGGGGAGGGGGGGGGAAAGAGGAGGAGGAGGAGGAGGAGGAGGAGGAGGAGGAGGAGGAGGAGGAGGAGGGAGCGAGGAGGAGGAGAGGAGGAGGGGAGGAGAGGGGAGGAGGAGGAGGAGGGGGAGGGGGAGGGGTGAGGAGGAGGAGGAGGAGGAGGCCGAAAGAGGCGGCGTGGAGGATCTGCTCTGGGGCCTTGTGAGTGGTTCGGCGAGCCGTAGCTGCCTGGGATGTCCAGGTGCCGCGCTGTAGCGATCTTGGGGCGTCTTCAAGGCATAGTGTGGCCATGACCGGCTTCAGCGTGGCCCCAGGATGTTTTCAAGAGGCCAGGAGGTAAGAGGACACGGGAGGAAGGGAGGGAGGGGAGGACACAGGACGGAGGAGCGTATCCGAGTGAGTCGTTGTCCATCACCGCCTAATCCCTTAACCCTCCTCCCCCTCCTCCTCCTCCTCCTCCTCCTCCACCTCACACTCCTCTTCCTCTTCCTCCTCCTCCCACTCCTCCTCCTCCTCCTCCTCCTCCTCCTCCTCCTCCTCCTCCTCCTCCTTCCCGTCCTCCTCCTTCTCCCTCCTCCTCCTCCTCCTCCTCCTCCTTCTCACTTCTCCTCCTCTCCCATTTCCTCCATTCCTGTTCCTCATACATAATTTCTCCCTGTTGCACCCCGAGGTCAATGTTCAAGGGCGGGCTGGGCCTTTCGCCTGAGACCCCCTCATCATGTATGATTATGAAGCGAAAGGCATGGTAACAGTTTCACATATGGAGGGCGGGTAGTTTTCAAAATGTGGCTCTGGCATTAGCGCCACGCACAGTCGTGTTACACCGTTGCTAGAGCTTCGCGGATTGAGCGCGGGTCGTTTTCACAATGTGGCTCTCGCCTAAGCGCCGCGCACACTCGTTTTAAATAATTGCAAGAGTTTCACGGGTTGAGCGCGGGTCGTTTTCAAGATGTGGTTCTCGCTTCAGCGCCGCGCACATTCGTGTTAAAACATTGCATGAGTTCCATTCATTGGGGGCGGGTGGTGTTCAGAATGTAGCTCTCGCATTAGTAGTGCCACACACGCACACACTCGTTTTAAGAACTTGCAAGAGCTTCACGTATTGAGGGCGGGTGGTTTTCAAAATGTTGTTCTCGCATCAGCGCCGCGCACATTCGTTTTAAGAAGTTGCAAGAGCTTCACGGGTTGAGGGCGGGTGGTGCTCAACATGTGGTTCTCGCTTTATCGCCGCGCTCTTTTTTTTCAGAAGTTGCAAGAGCTTCGCGGATTGAGGGCGGTCATGTTTCAAAATGTGGTTCTCGCCTTAGCGCCACGCGCGCTCGTTTTGAACATTTGGAGGAGTTTCACGGATTCCCATGATCAACGTATCAGAAATGGTGTTTCGGAAGGGTTTAGGATTATGCGGGTGCAACAGTTATGTTGGTTCGTGGTGTTGAAGTCACAAAAACGGCGTTTTCCAACCAGGGTTCGTGGTGTTGATTCGTGGTGTTGAGGTTTTCAAACGGTTGTCTTCCAACCAGGCAGTTCCCTCAATGGAAACGAACCGTTCTAGGGGCCCGTGAAGAGGGAGTTTGGAGGGAGGGTTTACAGTCAAAACGTTGAAATAAGGAACAAGTTGAGTTCGGAAGGGACTCGATGTTCCTTAGGCTCCTCCATCGCTGTTCCTCCTGCCCTCCTCGGGCACGGCGGTGCGTTTACGGCCAGAATGGGGCTTCGTTCTTTATTTGGCGTTCCTTCTTTCAGCGGCCGGACTGTATCCCAACATCGTTGATGACCCTTGGGTTTCCACTGCTCCTCCTCCTCCTCCTCCTCCTCCTCCCTCCTCCTTCTCATCCTCCTCCTCCTCCTCCTCCTCCCTCCCCCTACCTCCCTCCCCCTCCTACTCCTCTCCTTCCTCCTCCTCCGCCTCCTCCTCCCCCTCCTACTCCTCCTCATCTCCTCCTCCTCCTCCTCCTCTCCTCCTCCTCCTCCGCCTCCGCCTCCTCCTCCTCCTCCCTCCTCCTCCTCCTCCTCCTCCTCCTCCTTCTCCTCCTCCAGATGTCCACGGCCATGCACAGAAAGATAGTGAAACTCGGAGGAGCAGGCCGACCATGCGTTTGGAAGCAGCTG